AGCCTTGATTTCCCAGTCACCCTGCTCAGTGACTACTCGTTGCTTGCTCTCAGGGTAACTGCTCGAGTAGTGTGAACATTTCAGCTATAGATTTTCTCCATTTGTGAGTGATCGCCAGGGCATGTTTGATTTTCTTGACGATGAATTGTGAACTGTGAACTTTCTGCACCTAGCTGCAAGCACAGCGATGAGAAACAGAGTTTGAGAGGAAATCAGATTTATCTACTGTCATGCGCAGCAGATCCCTGAATCCAGTTCCATCATCCAACTATTTGTGTAGGAGGGCAAAATGTAAGCACAATAATATTGCTTCTATAAAATCTTATTGGCATGTTCTACCCAAATAAAGCACACAGTATAAAAACAGCTATGGTTCTTTTCACTATACTCTGCTTGTGTCTCCCCAACCAATATCCTCAACATTTTCTCTTATATCTCTTTTTTCTTGTTTCCTTACAAAATAGTGACAAAATCACATGATAGACAATAGAAGCTCTCTTGTTTATTTCAGTGAGAAAGCAGGATCTGGGGATCAGGCACTTCAGCTGAGATCTCTCCAGGTGAAAGATGGTGTAGTGTGTGTGCCTTGTCTGCAAGAGATTGTGTAATGTGCACACACCTACAGCAACAAACAACTGTTCGCAAATGATTAAAGTCGTGTAGGGTAAAAGATACTTGTCACACTGTATGAGATCCCAATACAATCTTGGCCGAATTCTATAAAAGAACACGTGTCCTCCATGTCAGATTATACGATGAAGCTCCTATAACAATAGATCTATGATTAAAGAAAACTAATTGTATCTCTGTTATTATATAATTAAAATATATTGGATTCTGCAACACATGGGTAATCATGAATACACAATGAATACGCCAAAGTAAAGGGCTATTAAAAAGGATGAGATCAGGATTAGGGCAGGACTGATTTTTGAGGGAAACTAAGGACACAGAACACAAAACACAGGCTGATTGGGTATGCAACAGGCAGCGATTTTTTTTTGTTGTAATTATACAAAAAGATTTAAACTCTCTAATGTTTACTAGAAATTGTTGCCAGGCAAAGCAATGCCTGAGCTTGTTTCTGGCAGGGAAAGAAAGCAAGGAAACTGCTGGTAGGATGGTTTAAATCAAGTCGAATCGATTCTTGAATCAAGAGGGGAAAAAGAGAGAGAATGCTGATGTGAAGCTGTAGGAGGCACAACATCTGCTGACCTAGCTTGTGAAATTCTGAAACATGAGGACCGAGGGCTGGCGTGGAGACGAGCCAAGCTTATTTTCCATTTCAGAGTAATTACACATGGATCAGATTCAGGTGGAGGAGACACACAGAAACACAGCTGTCTGGAAGCTCACCGGGTCGGATGCGGGCCCTGCTGATTGATGACCTTTTTTTTTTGCACTATACGGAAGTGCTACAGCTAAGCTGCGGTGTGCCAACGCTCCATCTGAGGTGCTTTCACATGGCTATGAAAAGAGTTTTTGATTTTTATTTTTTTTTTTTAGAAGCAATTGCGGAAGGAAAACAGTAGACAGCCGGCAGTTGGATGGTGCTGGAGTTAATGAGCTGAAACAAAAAGCAGAGCGAGATTTAGATTTTTAATATTGCCATATTAGAGGATGGATGGGGAACAAACTAGCTAGCCTAGCACGCAGTATTTCACTAAGGGGAAACGCCAACACAAAATGGGTGACAACAGAGAGGATACAATGCAGCTGGGTTCATTTGGTTAACAGCTTCATTTGCAATGTTTCATGGGTATCCTTCATGGATATAAAATTCTACTGAGATGCTAAGTCACAGTAACTGATAATGTAATGGCTATTAATTGCTATTAATTGCTCTTGATGATCAGGCACTATTGGTTATAGACACATTTTACTAACAGCTGTACAGAATTGAGAATTTAACAGTCCTTTGATAAAAAAAAATGAAAAAAAAAAATAATAAATTCAGTATGCTAGGCATAAAAATACACAACCTAAAACAATGATGCATGGAATTGGCATTCACGAATGACAAGCTTTATTTTATTTCATTTTATTTTATTTGATTTTATTTTACAATTGGCTGCACATGATGCAATTCTTTTCATATTTGTTTTGCCCATCCTCTGTGAAGTCTCACACTCTTTTGGGAGTACTTGTTCATTGGAAAACTGAGTTTGTGCGAGAGTTAGTGAGTCATAAATACTTCCTGTTGTGAGTATCGAAGGGACCGAATCTCCAAAGAGCAGCATTTTGGAGCGCCAGTGGTTTTAAATTCACATTCTCCTACTGCCTTCATGACAGAGCAGTGGTTGCCCGTTGTTCTTTTTTCACACATAAAAATAAGTGTTAAACTTCTGAGGCTACAGAAGGAGGCACTGATTTTTTTTTTTAACTGTAATCAACACAACCTACATCCATGCCGAGAACTCAGAGGGAGAATCAGAGTTCACAGCTTTGATCGAACACATTCCCATGGCACAGCTAAAATGCTACCAAAGATGTTTTGTACTGTCTTCAAACTAAAATGGAGAGGAGAAGGAACGTGATGTCTAAATCGCTACCTAATTTCCCCATTTTCTCTACAATGAACATTTCCAAATTTCAATCTCCATCATGACAGCTGCCTAGAAATTTACATTTAATGATGAGATACTGTGTCAAAAAATCCTTGCCCAAAGATGATTGGTTGTTGGACTATTGAATTCTCAATTCTGATTGGTCAAAAGGTGTTTTCTTATTAAATTGAGGTCATGTTGTGTCAATTGGTGTGTGTATGTGTGTGTAGGGGGGATGCATGCGATTTTATCACATTTATAATTTGCTATTTTGATTTGATTTGTGCATAACTGGCAGAATAGCTAGTTAGTAATAAAAGTTAGTTATGCAATTTCAGTATTAAGTGCTCACTATGCACTCTTGTGCACACCAGACAGTGAAATATAGGACAGTAGCACATCCGGAACCGCACGTTTTGTCTTGTGCTTTGTACTGTACACAAGTACCCAAGCTGAATTTGGCTGCCCTTCTTTCAAAAGTGCCAGTATTGACATATGCGTGGAGACAGATGGATTGGTCAAACCTGATCATCACAGAATCATCTCTTGAGTCAGACAATTGCTATTTTGAAAAAGCATAGCTAGGTTTTAAAGCATAGAGCTCTGTAATCTTCATTAGTGTCGGATAGCATTCCCATCGAGCACAGAAGGAAAAAAGTGGAAAGTTGGCCACTTTGTCTCGTCACATAAAAACAAAAGGTGAGTAAAAAGCTGAGCCAGGCCTTGAAGTTCCTCACGATTGCGAGCGTGATCTTGCCTAATTATTTTCTGCTTTTAATGTTAGCCTATCTGTTTTAACTTTAAATATGCACTTAGCTGTAATAAACATTATCTTTTTGAACAAATCTAATGAAAGAGATTCTGCACCTGCATCCAACCACCTTAAACATTAGTCTCTTAACGTCTAACACCTGTTATTGACTAACTTAGTTCAGTTCCTCTACGCTCAATAAGAACAGACTGGTATTACGGAGGAAGGAAGAAATCCTGAAATATAATTGATCTTTTTAGACTTTGGACTAGTTTGTGAAAAGTGGTCATGACTATGGGATGGGATTGACCTCTTATTTGGGAAAAGGGAGTGTTTGCTTTACAACTAACCAGCGCTGAGTTTCCCAAAAGCATCACAAAGTTAAGATCATCTTAACTGGAAGAGAGAGTGTGAGAATGCTACCATTTAGCGATTATCTTTGCGCAGCAATATTTTGGGGAAACTCGGCTCAGTTCAGTGTGGAAACTTTAAAGGTCATGGACTTGTACTGGGCTCTGCGACTCACACTGTGGCTAATTACTTACTCCGACCTGTGGAAGTGTGGATAATGGCATTATCCAACAGTTAAATTACTCTTTCAACCAGCTTGGTTCTTCTGCCATTTAGAAGCAGACAGTGAAAGCTAAATCTACTCAATGGATACAATTACCTTTTTTTTTTAACTTAATGCATTACAACTTTACTTTCAGCTGAGACTTTTTCCTCATTAAATACTGCATTATTTAGTGCAATATTCAGTGGAATTTGAATAGTAATCCATGGTTTTGATTATTTTCTATAACAGCATGCCCCAGCATCTTATTACATATTATTAATCCGAGTACAAAGCACATGATTTTTGGTACTCATTGATACTGATACTGAAATTAGTAACATATTTATTATTTTTTATTATTTTTTCAGTGTTATTTCTAAATAACATTTTATTTAGCTCTGTTTCTGTTGTGTGCTATCAGCAGTGAACTCCTTGGGCTGAGTTTTATGATTAAGATATTTAAAGAGTATCTTTATTAGAGAATGTGAAGATGGCCGACCTGATTAGTAGCGAGTGTGGTTATTAAAAATAAGCGCAAGATGCTGTGTATGGCACCTTGACTCATGAGCAAAGTGTAAAGGAAACATGTGTCTCAGTGCTCAGTGCTCGCAGAACTGAACTGCTATCTCTCATATACGTATGTAACAGATTCTCTGCATGCTCACGTCACTGTTTCACACACGTGAATACCTTTTGTGGATGCATTTCACAGCATTTTGCACTCATTTCTAATGACAACGCTTGCTGATACTGCTCTGCACTCTCAGGTCAGCCATGCTTTCTTCCTTATTAAAGATACTGTTTAAATGCTGTGAGTTGTGTTATCGGGTTGTTTGTATTGTAGGAAGACGCCATAGTTCCTGCTCTTGATATTTTCACAGAGCAGTTTGCTTTGACCATCATTAATCGTGAAATACATCCAGATCGCTGTCATTCAAATGAATGTCAAAATAAAAGGACTTATAGATGCAAAACCTCCATGCAGCTCTCCCTGTGCTGGGAAGAGCTGATTTGTTGCCACAGTCGATCATTGGTCGGCATATTTGATTTGGAACCCTTCCTGATGCAAGCCTCCCAAATTTAATCCGGGCTTGGGACCAGCACTGGGAGAGCACTACTGTGTGCAACCCCCAGTGGCTGGGGTTGGTTCCCTGGCTGGGAATCGAGCCCGGGCTGCAGAGGTGAGAACGCCAAGGCCTAACCACTAGTCCTCCAGGGACCGGAAGAGCTGATCCATAATAGTTTAAAATCTTAATGTCAAAATTTCAGAAAAAAATTATCCCTTTGTCTGAGGAAAACTTTGATATTAAGTGCTAGTAACATTAATATAACTTGAGAGCATTAAAATATAAATATAAACTAAATAAAATCTGGTAATCCATGACCTTTTTTTTTTTTTTTTTTTTAGAGTTTCTGTATCAAGTAAAATTGCATGAAATTCTTACACCATGACAGTTTGGTCTAGTTCAGGCTTACTCACATGCACTTACACACATCCTCGTGATCAGAGAGAGTGTGTTGAGTGTAAGGTCATCAGGAGGACAGGGACAGCAGTGTGTGAGAGAAAGCTGTAACAAGAACACATTAGCACAGAATGAGTCTTCTGCTCATTAATATTCCTGTGCCATGGCATTAATAAAGTTTAAGTTTGTGTTCAGGGAACAACCAGTGCATCGGTTGAGAGAGGTTTGTGTGTGTGTGTGTGTGTGTGTGTGTTTCACTGAGTTTTCCAAAATCGCTAATCACATCATATATAAATATCATCATATATAATATAAACACATTTAACGTGTTTCAGGGTGGAGTTTTCTTTTAAAGAACCCTTGAAGAACCCTTTTTGTACCACCCATGATACACCACTGGTGCAAGGGGGAACTGTGTATAACAGTATCAGGTTGCTAATAGGAGATTCATGTAGCATAGGTGGCTTAGTGAAATCCCTAGACTGATTGATTAGGAAGCTAATGTCATGTGAGATGCATTATTATCCAGAGGCAGAGCTACAGGACCGACAGGGCAGGTAGGTGCCTGCAGCTCTGAGGATTGAGGGGATACCTGAAGCCTAATCATCTAGGTCCATAAAAATGTCAAAATGTGTGAATTTCATAGCGCCTACATGATGTAATATTGGTTTAACAAGTTAGAGAGGTGTCTGCTGATAAGATCTAGCAAATCATTAAAGCCATCATTTTGGTTCCCAGTATAAACTATGTGCCTGTGGTACTTCCAGACTAGCCTTAACTAGATAACTCAAAATATAAGAATTATTGCTACAGTTATATTCACAATATCTGTAAACTGGAACTCGGAATTATGACATTTTTGGCCTCTGTGTGAAAAAAACCACAGATGCCTCCATGTTCATGTTTCATTAGCAACAAGCTAGCCATCTAACTGCGATGAATGATGTATATTTTCTTCCTTAAAACAGTGAACTGTAGAGTCAGCGTTATTGATTTAACAAGCCAATTTTCTGTGTATTGATTGATCTAAAATGAATACTTATATATACAGTATAACTCATTTATAGGTAAGAAGTTTGAATTTGTTTACTGCTGATGCTGTGTGCAGCCATGTTGATTTACTGAAGCTGGAGGAACTCAGAGTTGTGGAGATCGTCCCAGGATCCTGAGTAGGAAATTCTGATTTGAGGGGGCATTTTCTTCATTTTTTCCTGATGGAGAATTATGAGTTATATTATGAGTTCTACTTGAAAGCAGTATTATGTCATACAAGTTAATCCACACTGTTATTAATTATACTCTAATTCCATAGATTTCTGATTATTTGTCAATAACCATCGGTACAAAAAATATATTTTAGGGCTCTGTAAACTCTATAATGGCTTCTGCTTCTGTTATCTTTAAGAGTAGTGTATAAGCACAAACCCTAAGTTGCCAGTTTATTAGTTACTAGGCCAATATACATAATAAACTGCCATATCAGTGTACTCGTGTTTGTTCACTACAATGCAGAAGTCTTGCACTGCCTGAGCTTATTTATTTTAAAGCAATTTATCCTGTTTATTTGCTAGAAATCACACCATATATCCAAGTGGCTGTTTTAATACTGTAAGTATCCCATCAGACCTCTAGGTGTTAATTGTGTTTGCAGTGTGTTTGGTTGCTCAGTTGGGATTGTGTTTGAGCACAGTGAATTACCAGGCAGTCATTTTCCCTAAGACAGAGCATGCTGAAATAAAGTCTGCCTCTATTCCTCTATGTTTAATAAAATATTAATTTTAAGCAGATCTTGTACAGAAATGTATACTGAAATGTATCTACACACCATGACAGAGGCAACTCTGTGTTTCCCAGAAAGGGCTGTATTCAGAGTTGGGGGAATTAAGTCTAAAAATTATGTCAGTATTTACTAGGGGAAAGTTACGTGTATTCAGAGATGGGTTAAGCACCTGCTTAAGTGATTTCCTGAGCTCCCTATTCAGATAATGCAAATCGTCTCTGTGTAGTTAATTTTCAATAGCATCAAGACCACCACCTTTAAACAAAAGCATTCGCCTTTAAGCCTGAAAAACAACCAGGAATGGAAAATGAAGACTGAAAAAGGAAATTATATATTTTTTTCTTTGCTGTCAAATGTAATATGATGTAACATAAAAGCAAGAGACAATTTAAAAATGAAAAATAAAATGCATAATATGATGATACATTAATGCAAAGATGGCAAACATCTAATAGGAAATAAACATCTAACAGGAGTCTAGTATATTGTTAATATATTGCTGCATGAATAGTCCTAGTTTTAATTATCACATTAATCACCGCAATTTTGGTTTAATTTAACAATATGGCTTCTACAATTATTATTCAGATGAAAATAAAGTAGTACTTGATCCAACAAATCATATTATTTTCGATGTAATTTTTTTATATTGTGATCTGATAGTTAACTATGCGACAAGATACTAAATTACGCTTGTTAAATCGTAATGTGTGCACAGTGTAAGTTATTTTATCATGTTTCATTTTTAATTTACTAATTTGAGCTGCACATCTAATAAAATAAAGCCAATGTTTTTGTTATTTCGATTCTGTAAGGCAGATTTGCAGGAAAAGATGTGTTTACTAGTAAACTGGAGGACAACCCAAAAAAGTTCAGGGTCAAAAAACAGGCAGAGAGTCAGGTGATCAGCAAACAGAGCAACAAAAAACAATACCAGAATAATGAAAAAAACAAACAGGAAGCAGAAATGTGACCAGAATATCTCAACACAGAAAATAAGGCTTGGTAAGTCAGGCAAGAAAACACCAAGCGTTACTTCACAACTAACTGAATAGGCAAGGTCAGTATGAGTGCAATCAGTAATCAGGTGTACAGGAACATGACAGTGATCCTCAAGATAAGCAGTATCTCTGATTAAGCTGCTGTCTCCTCCAATATCCTCCATACAAAAAAAAAAAAATCATGCACTTTAAATGTACAGTAATATTTACTAGTGTTAAATGAGTGTATTTACAGCCAAAACATCAATTTCAGCGTGACATATTGTGATTACATCAAAATGTCATACAGTGGTGCTGGACTTAATGCTGCTCTTCACTCGAGCTGATATCACACAAGTAAATTGAGCTTAATCTAAGTTTAGAATCACAAATAACTGATAAAGTTTCACTCTGAACAGCGAAATTTATGTTTGAGATCTGAATAACACAATGTGCAGCATTTCCGTAATAAATCGCATAACTCAAATCTGAACATGCCAGAATTTCTGCCACTGGGGGTCGTGCCATGTTTTATGGTTTTTAGTGTACTGTTTTTTCTTTACCTTTCTACAGAAATTATGTCTTAGCTCAAACATGCTTTCCAAGACCATTTATGACCTTTACGACCTTTTCTCCCAATCGATTAACTGGACTCTGCCAGGAGCTGAGCGAGCATTCATCTGGATTTTATTCTGTCCTATACAGAAAATGACCTTTCAAGTGTAGATCATTTTTGGTGTCTATGCATAATGCAGAATTATTCCTGATGCTTTCAGTCAATAAGGACAACAAATTTAATAACAGTTTCGAACATGAAATCTTTAAAGTCCAGCTTGTTGAGTCATAGCTGATGTATATCCTTGTACAATGGGAGGTCTGTTTTTAAGTCTGTAAGCATATCAAAACCTCACAACAGCATTCAAACCTCAGCTCCATGCACTCTGTTATTTGTAATTACCATCCACACAGCCATGTATTTACTAAATGTCACCATTAGTACACCTAGTTTGGCTAATCAGTGTATAATTAATGATGTGAAGGTGGTGGAATTCACTGCATACAAAACATGATGGTCTTTTTAGAAAATGAAACTAATTCTTGTGATATTTGTTGTGTATTATATTATGATATTAGGTTTACAACAAATAAAGACTTAATTCTCAACTTATTTGCTTTGATTTTCTTTTTTTTTCAATTGCACTGTGCTAGTATATATATAATAGTATATTATATATATATAGTATAATTATATATAGTATATATATAATACACACACATACACATATATATATGTATGTATGTGTGTGTGTGTGTGTGTGTGTGTATGAATACACGTGTGTATGGATGCATATAGTGTAAGTGCATGTGAATAAGTTGGTGTATTTGGTAATGTGTGTGCAAATGATTGTATGAAAAATATATGAATGCAATACTGTGTGTGTGTGTGTGTGTGTGTACTTGCATATACTGTAAGTGTATAGGGAGTGAATGGGAGATCTGGTATTTGCATGGCATTTTATTGGTCATAATGATAAATGTTTTTTTTTTCATACACATTAGGATTATGTGTATGCATAGCATTATTTAGCTACAGTAATACAAGTCAGAAGAAGAATCCCACAAACATCGTAACACTTATCTTTGTGTTTGCATGATGTATATACAGTAAGAAGTGTATGTAGTGCAGTGTCTGCATATGTGTGTATATTTGTGTATAAGATGGAGCACCGTGATGCCTTAATGAGAGCTTGGCAGCTCCACATGGTTGCTAGCTTTGTTCTGCCTCCGTGTGCAGCGCGTAGCCGTTCCTCCTGCCAAGAGCCCAGTGCCGTGCCAATCAGAGAGCGACCCAGTGCTGGCACCGAGGCAGAGAGCAGTGTGTTAACGCCTCCATCCTGCCATGTCTCTACAGTCACTGCTAACACAGACCAACAAGCTCAAACACGAACACACACAAACACACACACACTCACTCACACACACATACAGTCCAAAC